GTAAGTAAGTAAGTAAGTAAGTAAGTAAGTAAGTAAGTAAGTAAGTAAGTAAGTAAGTAAGTAAGTAAGTAAGTAAGTAAGTAAGTAAGTAAGCAAGAGTACGATGCACGAAGGCGTAGGTGCACGAGCCAAGTGCGGCCCTAGAAGGGTTTTGCAAGGGCCTCCGCGAGACGGCCATCCGAGGGGCCATCCGAGGGACCATCCGAGGGGCCCTCCTGCTCGGTCGAGCGCTCTCTTCTCTTCTCTTCTGTGGCCCCCCCACCCCTCTCTCTTTCTCTCCCTTGGCCTCTCGGACAGGAGGCTTGGCTCCCCCTCGACGACCACGTCGTCCTTTCGCTCGGTGGCATCGTCCGCGCGCGTCTGGTGGCTGAAGCTCCTCTCGGTGATGCGGAGCACTGACCCGCAAACTGGTTCCTCCATTACACCAGACTTTCTCCCCCACCCCTCTCCTTCTTCGGCTCCTTTCCTCCTTCTTCCTTCTTCTTCTTCTTCTTCTTCTTCGTCTTCGTCTTCGTCTTCTTCATCTTCTTCCTATCCTTTCCCTTTTCCTCTCATTCCACCATTCGCGTCTTCTCCTTCGTTGCTCGTCCTGTCTTTCTTTCCTCTTCCTTTCCTAAGTCCAAATTTTTCTTCGTTTCTAGTCGTGATAGTTCGAATAACAACACCCAGTGTGGGTGATCCCATGGATAAAAGAAGAAAATCGTAAATGACGATACAGAAATACGTACTTCGACGTAATTCGGGATTATTATTATTATTGACAATTTATCGTATAATAAATTCGTATATATATCTCATTTTTCTCTCTCTCTCTCTTTCATATGTAAGTTAAATATTTGAATTTCGATTCTTTTTTGATATCGTGACGAGGATTTAGCCTTGAACGTTACGATATAAAAGGAAAGTATCTAGTCGGACGAGTATCCTCGATTATCCCTGGTGTGTCAATTAAATTAGTCGCGTCAACGTCGAGGTTTGCTCACGCGGAGTGATGCATATAAAACAACGATCGTTCTCTCGTTGTCGTCTCTCATTTTCATCGTCGTTGTGTCGTTATTCGTCGTCGTCGTCGTCGTCGTCGTCGTCGTCTTTGGCAACGTTGTTCGCCTTCGAATGAACGATAAACGCAGCTCAGTCGTTACCCAGACGCAGCCCAGACGCAACTCAGACGATAAAGTGCGAATTAATTCAGCGCTAATTCCACGTCTGGCATCCGACAAACGCCGAAGGGGAAAACCGCGACACATCGCGCCACGAGAAAGTGAGACAGAGAGAGAAAGAGATAGAAAGAGAGAGAGAGAGAGATAGAAAATACATACATACATTAGCCGACTCTAAAACTTCATAAACGTCTCCGGGAAATTTCGAAACGTGTTTCTTACCCCTTTTCGTCGTATCAGATATGCAGAACTTTACTGTAACTATCAACGATTATGGTACCAAAGGAAGTTTTTCATTTTCTACGATTAAATTCTCTATAGTAAATTTGAATAACGGTGAGCACATTAATATTTCAAAATAAATATACATAAATATAGACACGTTAAAATATTGATTTATTTGATTAAAATGATATCATTGCGATTTGAATCTATATCGAATTACTTGACGATTATCAACGAGGGAAGTTATGTGTTTTTCGATAGATGATAATTTACTCGACGGGGGTAAGAGGGAAGGGGAAGAGGGGTAAAGAATTTTGTTGTTTTGTTAATAATAAAAAAAAAAAAAAAGGAAAAGAAAAAGAAACATTTGGACGAAGTTGATAGATTTCGATCGTAAAAAGAAGAAGCTGTGAAATTTCTATGGTAGTTGGCGAACACTATCGATACCTTTTCGAGATATCAAATGTCATCATGTTGGTTAAGCGATTCCATTGAGCTCGTAGCTCGCGGTGATCATATTGGGAATAATATAGTTTGGACAGTAATTTTGCCGTCTCTTGGAGAAATATGTTAGACGAGTAATATGTCTCGACACGTTGGTTGGTTGGTTGGTTGATTGGCTGAAGGAAGACTCGTGTACTCGACTTTCTTCGTTACGACGTGATAATCGTTGGTGCTTCTTCGAAATATAGATAGATAGATAGATAGATGGGCATTGAAAAATGTTATATAGAAAAAGGAGGAAGAAGAAAAAGGTGATGCATAATCCTTGAAAACGTACATAGGCGGCAGGGTTGCTGCTCGATGACGAGAGAGAGAGAATGATGACGCACGGATTTCCAATGTCATCGTAAACGAGACGACGGTTCTCTCTTACATAAGCACAAACAAATCAGCGCGATGACATTCATCGAGCGATTATAGGCGAGCGTAGTTTTATGAAACTGTGCGTTGTGTGCGTCGTAGAAGAGAAGAGAAGAGAGAAAAAAGAGAAAAAGAGTAAAAAGAGAGAGAGAGAAAGAAAGACAAGTCATCCAATGCCGTCGGTGAATATCGGGGAGAGACGACATGCGCCTTCTTTCGATGCCTTTTACCGCGCGTATCCTATATACAAAAACTTTATCGCGTTTGACGCGTCCGTCTTCTATCATAAAACCACTCTCCTACGTATATGACGTTTGACGTACGAAAATAAAAAAATAATAATAATAATAATCAGGAAATTCTAATAACTCGTTAACAACGATTTTCTTCACGAGTAGTATGATCGTTTGCTTTAAACGAAGGGGGTACGACCAATAAAAAATTGCAAATTTAAAATAATTCATAGACATACAGGTAATAATTCATATAGATACCTATCTCTGTATATTATAACGTAACTATAATTAAAAATAAAAAATAAAAAAAGGAGAAAATATGTAGAATATTTCATTGACATGGGAAAATAATCGGTGAAAAGTTTTGTATTCGGGACTTACCGGTGGTAGGGTTTATCCGGAGTAGCAAACCAACGAGGAATAGGAGGACGAAGGAAGATGTCTTGTAAGCGGGTGCCGCGAAGGATCGTCGCAGGGCCGTCATTTCAGGCGGCCCGCCCCAGTTTCGGCCGTGACGTCTCGTTGCCTCGACGATCACCGGCGACCCTGTCGTCTCCGGCTTTGCGACTTCCGCTAATTCTACTCGGACTTCGACTTGGATGACGGCGGTGGTGGTGATGGTTGTGGTGGTGGTGGTGGTGGTGGTGGTGTTGGAGGCGGTGGCGGTAGCGACGGTGGTGGTGGTGGCAATGGTGGTAGCAGCACCCTCCTGTCCTCGTACTTCACATCTCATCTGCCTTCTCTACTTATTTACCTTCCGCCTTTTTTATTGCCTCTGTTTTGTATCCCCTCTCCTTGGTAGATTTTCACGTTTCCAGCCTATCGACACCAATGACACAAACAAACGTGACGATTTTAATCGTAAACCCCCGATTTTTCTTTCTTTTTTTTTTTTTTACACAAATCAGCGCTAACGCTCCCTCTCTTAACTCTGGCTCTCCCCTTCTCACCCCTCTTTCGATAGGAAAGTCTCGATCGTATTTTTCCCCCCCTTCACATCTCACTCTCGAGCTAATCGATCTGTCGATCGATAAAGCATTTTTTATATCAATTATTATTATTATTATTATTATTATTATTATTATAATTATAATTATTATTCATTCGTTCATTCATTCATTCCCGTCGCTTCTCATCGAACGGCTTCTCGCTATCATTCGTTTCGAGTTTTCTCGTAGAGTAACGTCGTCGTCCTCGACATACTTTTTCTCGCGTAGACAAGACCGGAAGACAGAGCAGTTTTTTAATACGAAAGGAAGGAAAATCCGGCGGATATGTCGTAGGATGGACGAGCATCGCAAGATCGCCAGCACATCGAGGGGAGAGGGGGATTGGTTGGAGAAGAATGATCGATATATATATATATATATATATATATATATATATATATATATATATCTCTCTCTCTCTCTCTCTTCGGTTTTTCTAACGTTTCTTCTTCCCTTACTTCGAGTATATTTCGTGATTATATGAAAACAATACTTCCTTCATCGATCGACGCACGCCACGTAGCGGAAAAAGAGGAAGAAGATTCTTCTTGGCGGTAGAGGAGGAGGATTCATCGCTGTGCCGACACGTGGAGCACGTGACGTGCAACACATCACCGGTCCCTTCTTCTTCTTCTTCTTTTCCACTCTCTTTCTCTTTTCTTTTCTTCTCTTTTTCCTTTGGTATTTTTCTTATTATTGGTCTCCTCTTCTTTTCTCTTTTCTTTTCTTTTCTTCTCTTCTCTTCTCTTCTCTTCTCTTCTCTTCTCTTCTCGTTTCGTTTCTCACCGATCCTAAACAACTCTTTCTCTCCTATTCTTCTTCTTCTTCTTCTTCTTCTTCTTCAAATACCTCACGACATTTTTTGACGTAAGGAATAAGATTTAATGAAAAAAAAGAAAAACAAAAAACCAAACACTATTTTCCTCGTTCGTTCCTCTCTTCTTTTTAAAACCCCTCTTTCTTTCTCTCTTTCTTTCTAACAGAAAAGCAAGCGCGCGAAATCAGTGCGCGCGCCTCAGATACCAAAGAGATGCAATTCGTAAGAAATGTATACGCTTTGCGATGATATTCGGGAATAAGCGTGGTAACGCGCGCACGCACGCACGCAAGCACGCACGCACGCACGAGATCGGCCGGCAAAACTGATGTAAGAAAAAAAGAGAAACGGAAAGACGATGACGATGACGATGATGACGACGATGACGATGAGTTCGACGAGTCAGTCGTCTTACGACGACGACGACAAAGATGTTGAGGAGCCGCAATCAACAGGAGCACCACCAGCAAACAATAATAGTACCAGCAGCAGTAACAGTAATTAACAATATAACAGTAGCAGTAATTAACAACCAACAGCAAACAACAGCCAATAATATCAGCAGTAAAACAACAGCAGCAGCAGCAGCAGCAGCAGTAACAGTAGCAGCAGCGGCAGCACAGGCGGACGTTTTCGCCGTGTGCCAAGCGAAGCTCTGCAAAAGCGGGCTGCACACGCGGCCGCGCGCTCTCTGTTATGTGTCCCCACTTCCCTTCTTCGAACACGGCGGCAGCGGTGGCGGCGGCAGCACCGAGACTATCTGCCCGTGTGCCGGCCTCCAGTCTGCATGCCTCTCTCCCCTCCAATTCCTCCGCTACTTTGCCTTCTTCGTCTTCTTCCTCCTTCTCCTCCTCCTTCTCCTCCTCCTTCTCCTCCTCTTCTTCCTCCTCTTTTTCTTATTCTTATTCTTCCTCCTCGCTTACTGCTTCCTTCCTTCCTTCCTTCCTTTCTTTCTTTCTTGCTTTCTTGCTTGCTTTCTTGCTTGCTTTCTTGCTTTCTTTCCTTCCTGCCCTTGCTTCCCTACTTGCCTGCCTTCTTGCCCGTTTACTGCCTACCTTTTCTCTACCTTCTTACAGGATTGCGCTTTTACACTTTGCTCGGGACTTCCTCCTCCTCCTCCTCCTCCTTCCTTTTATCTTTTCTTCAACTCATTCCCCCCACCCCCATCTCTCATCTCATCTCGATTATGACGTATATACTCGATAATCGATTCGATCTTTGATCTTTGAATAATTTTTGCATAAACTATTATACGCGATACTATTATATGTATAATCAATCCCTCTTTCTACGTCTTCCCCTCTTTCATAAGTGTACGCGATCCTAAATTAATTGCAAATGATCCCTTATACAAGAGTTCGTTATCTATATTATAAGACTATAATAATGATGATGATACCGTCAAGGGATAACGATCGCGTTAAGAGTACGAGAATTCACGCGCAATTTTTTTATAAATACTTTCGACCGCCCCGTTTGAATTATCGGAAGAAAACTATCTCGCAACCGTGTACTTGCCTTTTTTTTTTTTTATCTTTCCAAGGTGTATGAGATCGTGCGAAACCGAAATAAAATTTTGCGTTAATATACGCGAAAACGAAAAGGTGTGTAATAATGATAATAATAATAATAATGCGAAAGGGGAAAGATTGAACCAAATAAAGAAGTAGAAAAAAAAGAAGGTGTCTTCTCGTAGGATATAAAAAAAGCACGCGGAAGATTTTCCCGAGTGTACGTTGGCCGTCGGCAAGGTGCAAGCGTAATTGGTGGATGCATCGCGGGTACGTCTCTCTTTTATACCGTAGAGCAGTCCCGACAAAGCGGTACCGCCCCCTGGGCACGTGACGATACCTTCGGTACCGGACCCACCACCCAACCACCCACCACAAGGGCTAATGGATACTCTACGCGCTCTCCTTACAGCGCACACCCTTACGTTTGCTGACAGAGAAACTACCCCCACTACCTACCCCCTAAACTTCCTTCCTACCTATCCTCACCCTCCATTTCCTTCTCCTTCTCACCCTCCTCCTCCTCCTCCTCCTCCTCCTACACCCCTCGACCCTCTTCCTCCTTATCTCGATCCTCCTTCCTCTTCTTCCCTTACTATCTCGTCGTCCGAAAGATATGCTAATTGATATCGCACCACTACTCATTTTTCTCTTCTAAATCATCCCCGTTCTCTTATTTTCTTTTTTTCTTTTTTTTTCACTTTTCATTGACTGACATTTTCGGGACGGAGGGGAGGAGGTTAGTAAGAGTTATCATCAGTGGTAAAACTTTGAACGATTCTTTCCGAATGGTGGAATCCTTGCTGGTGTTGCTCCTGCGAATGACTAAAAAAGGTCCTGCTGGGATGTTAGGCCGCTGCATCCGGCCATAACTGACCTTGGATTCGCTTCGAACCATTCTTTGGCAATTGGTAGCAACCACCAAACACATCATTGACTATTTCGATGTTTACCACCTGTCGTGATGTTGCCGAAATGGCTACAGACCGCAAGATCGTGCGATCTAATTCAATCCCCCTCTCCCCGGCCGTTCCCTCCCTTCTCTTACAACCCAACCCAATTCCTCGAGTTCGAGGACTATATCTCCGTATTACTTTCCTTTCCTTTAGCGTCGTTCAATAAAAATCTCATCGTCGTTGGCATTTGAGAAAAGGGGAACGCAACAACAAAAATATCAGTAAAAAAGATCGTATTGAAATATTGAAAAAAAAAAAAGAACAAAAAACAAAAAGAAGGGGGTACGACGACGACGACGACGACGATGACGACGACGACGACGATGACGACGACGACGACGATGACGACGACGACGACGATATTATTATGATCGAGTGAAAATAATCGAAACCAAAAAAGAAAAGAAAAAGAGGGAAGGTAAGAAAAGTACAGCACGGCGGTAAAAGAGGGATTATCAATCGAGTAACAAAAATCGAAAATCCCGCCGCCGCCGTTGCCGTCGCCGTCGCCGCCGATCAAGAAGTGGCTTGCGATCGTGGCCAAGATTCGTTAATGCTGTAATTTATCGGTCCGCTTTGGATTTCCGCCTGTGCGGATCCCATTAAGAGAGCTTCGGCGAGACGACGTGCGTTATATATCACGGTGCATCGATCAGTGCCAGGAGCATTACACGAGCGGTCGTATCTTTCAGGACGATATATCTACCTTCGAGTCTGATTCTCCGATTATTTTTCCTTTCAACGAACCTGCATAACTCCCCAGGACGCCGGCGTTGGTACCGAAAGGGGTAGGGTAGGGTAGGGTAGGGTGGACTGGGGTGAGGTGGAGTGGAGTGGAGAAGGAGAGTTGGGACGGTGGAGCAGATCGGCAGGGAGGGAGGGATGGGTGATTCTTCTACTTGGATAAACGACGTTAGGTATTATAAATACGATAATGCGAAAGTAAAAGTAAACTAATAAATATGTTTAGCGGGAAAATTGGACATTATAAAGAACTAGAATTTTATTTTGATCAAATTGGACGTTTCGTCCCTTTATTGGGACTTCTTCAGCAACTCAATCTCTAACGTTCAGAGTCTTTTCAAAAAACAAAAATTACAATAAAGTGACGAAACGTCCAATTTGATCAAAATAAACTTCTAGTTCTTTATAATGTCCAATTTCCCTGCTAAACATACTTATTAATAATTTTATTTTTGGACGAAGAGAAATAAATAATTGTAAAAGTAAATGTTCAACAATGATAGTAGTAATACCAATATAAAATATCGTATACATAGGTATACTATAATAATATAACGTGCTTTGATTATTTTCATTCGTTTCGCGTTTGAGATTGCGCTTAGTAATCGTGGAACCGTCGTCGTCGTGGTCGTGGTGTAGATGGACGACGGCCAACTTGGATGTAGAAAAAGACTCACTTGGTGAGTGTGTGAGTATAAGCAAGAGAGAAAAAGAGAAAGAGAAAGAGAAAGAGAAGGAGTGAGAGAGCAGGACGACGGTGAAGTGAATCTAGTCTGTATATGGTCGGGCCCAGGCCGTCTGCCTGGCCACGTCCAGTCAATGGATGTAATTCACTGTCCGCCAACGGAGTCTTAGACAGCAGACGACGGACGACGACGGATGGATGGCAGTCAACGAAAGGGTGACCAACGAAAGGAAGAGAGAAAGAGAGAAACCACCGAGTGAACGGTTGGTGAGTGCTGATGAAGGAGAAGAAGAAGAAGAAGAAGAAGAAGAAGAAGAAGAAGAAGAAGAAGAAGAAGAAGAAGAAGAAGAAGAAGAAAAAGAAAAAGAAAAGGAGGAGGAGGAGGAGGAGCGAGGAGGTAGGAGAGGGGGACAGTAGTAAAAGCACAAGACCGTTGGTCCGCGACTGCGAGTGATTGTGACTGGATATAGGAGAAAGTTCCTCTCTATCCGCGCTCTGCAGAGTGTGCGCGCGAGCGCACATCGTATGAGAGAGAGAGAGAGAGAGAAAGAGAGAGAAAGAAAAGGTGCTCCTTCCTTTCGAACGGAATCTCGCCTTCCTTCGATCGTAGCGTTCGTCCGCGACGAACAAGAAAAGAAAAGAAAAGAAAAGAGAACGATCGATCGATCCATCTCGAGTGGGGCCGGGGTGGTGGTGGGGTGGGGTTATGCCCAGAACAGGTGAGCTTCTTTTAAAACGCACACTCTCTTCTTATATACCTTGAAGAGAATTTTCTGAATGAAAAGAACGAGAACGACGACGATGAATCGTTTCCCTCGGTTTGTCGTCAAAGAATTACTTACCCTTTCGTTTCTTCTTCTTTAAATCAATCGTTTATTACGTTTATATACGTTGATTACTTAATTCTAAGTAACTAACGCGTTACTTTTTTCTCTTCTTTTTCTTTTTTTTTTTTCTATAGGTACGTAGAAAACGATAAAC